TTTTCATTATTTAAATATTAATTTTTATCAAAAAAATAATATATATTTTTTATTTTTTAATATTTAAAATAATATTTTTAATTAAAAAATGAAATTGTTGTCTACATATTGATGCCTTTTTTTTCAATTTATTTACCATATAAAATGCAAAAATTAGACATTTATGATCGACTGTGTAGATCTCCCATAAAATGTATATGAGATACATGAAATCAAAAGTGTGGTGTGGACCACCACACCTACAAAACGCCACCGTGGGTGTGGACTGGTCCGGTCCATACAATCTATCCATAATTCGGAACAATTGTGGAATATGGTATGGTGTGGATTTGTCCCTACCACAGAGTGTGGTATGGACTAGTTTATACCCACCAATTTCTCATCCATACTCCATAACACCCCTAAACAATAGCAAGTTGGAGGGGTTAGAAGTAGAGGTGTCAATTGGACTAGATTTGGTCCAATCCGATCCAGTCCCATGTGAATCCATTATAAATGGATCAGGTCTGATCCGGTCCAATGAATATTTTGGACCAGTCCAATTCAATGTCTGGACCATCTAATATGTTCAAATTCATTTTGAATTAGATTGGTTTCAACTCAAACCTGGTCCATTAACACCTATATTCTTATCTTATATCAATAGATCAGATATGGCTTAATCCAATCCAATCTAATATGAATTTATTACGAATGAATCAAGTCCAATCCAATCTAAAAAATATTTTGAACYGGATTGGTCCAATCCAATATATCTTATTGGTCCATCCAATACGTCCAAATTGATTTTGGACTGGATGGGGTCCAATCCAAAACCGGTTCATTGACACCCTTAATTAGAAGGGATAGAGAACGACAAAAGGAACATAAGTTGTACTAAAGAACTGATTTAATCGCTCATAAATTAACAATAAATATGACACATATGGAATGATGAAACATGATTCATGTAATGACGCCTAAGGCTTAGATGATTATGATCATAATTTTCATACTTTTAATATCAATAATTTTGGGCATGGCTAGGATCCATGGGCATGGCTAGGATTGAACAGAATACCTAGGCCTAGGCCTGCCCCCCCCCGCCCAAAAAAAAAAAAACTAAAAACACTGACCACTGACTTAGCATAAGATGCAGACATCCCAATGCAAGTATATCTGATGCTCCTCCTAAAGCTGTGGGAAGTACAATAGTGCTTTATGAAGATATTGGTGAGACTTTCGGAAGAGCTACCTATTTCCATTTTTCAATCCAACATGATAATATATCTCTGTATAAAAAAGGGCAAACCAGTGCACGAGATTCTTACCAATGCAGAGGCTGAGGCTGAGGCTGAGGCTGAGGAGGGACAGATGTAACATAGCAGCCCAGTGCACGATGCTCTTGACAATGCGGGGTCTGGGGAGGGGGCAGATGTACCTGAGTAGCCTTACTCCTGCAGATGCCCAGAGAGTTGTTTTCTCTGTTTTTCTTCTAATTTGTAACCACATCTGATGATTCTCCTATCCTGTGTGACCCATCTAGCTTCTTATTGTGATGAACCCATTTTATTTCTCTTTTGCAACTTTAGCTGACTATTCCCATGTGTAATGTAATGAAGTGATTATCTTTCTAACAGCACTAAGCTTACCATCTGACCGGCTCCGGCTCTGACTGAAATGGGTAGAAATGCTCACTCCAACTAACTCCCCTCGGATATGCCATGCAGTCACTTGATGAGAAGCAAACTCTCTAGTTTCAGGGTCATCAAAATTGGACTGGACATCTATGGATGAATGATTGCAAATGCAAACTTAACACTAGGTAAACATACTGCATTAATTATTATATTTCTTTTATTGGGGGTGGGTGTTTGTTAGGGGGATTCTTTGTGCTGTAGTTTGGACGTAAGGCTCGGTTTGGAAGGAATACAAATGCAAATATATAGACTATAAAACTTTTTTATTTTTTATATATTTGTATTTGTACTCTTTCCAAACTGAGCCTAATGGATTTATCAATTCATATAACCATTGCCATATACTCGGGATAATGATAATCTATTCTAATATCTTTTGGAAGATGACCCAGTTGTCTACTAGCAACTTACAACCCTTTCAGTGAATCGAGTACAATTGCTCACAGGCTGTCAAAATAATTGGCTTACAAGTGGGTCACATTATCAGAGCTTTTTTTTTTTAATAATAAAAATCCATTTTAAATCGCAAGCCTCTTTAAGAAGGAACATGTTATAAGGCTGATAATTTGAAGAAATTATTCCAATCACATTCTGTGGCAAGTCTTTCGTGTCGTTTTTTAGGTTTTTCAAACCTCGGAAGATAAAAGCTTGGCCTTTTTCCATTTGGAAATGAAAGACAGAAAGCTGGAAAGGCCTATTCCCTAAAAGCTCATGGAAGTTGAAAATGGCAAAAAAATTGGAAGCTTTTGGTCTTTCTAAGCTTAAAATTTTTCATTTAACAGCTTGGTAGACTATGTTGGGTTAGGATACTTACCAAATGGTCTAGATCTTTAAAGACAAGAACCCAAAAGTTTACTATGTCTTTTGGCCATTTGGGTTGTCTGGAGTAGGGGTAGCAATTTTTCAACCTAACCCGCTAACCCTCCCAACTCAACCATTAATTGGTGGATTGGGTTGTTGTATCCATTTAATTCTGGGTTATGTCGGGTTGGATAACCCAATAATGGGAAAGATAATGGTTTGGGTGGGCCGGTTCATGGTTATCCAACCCGAAAAAAGTTGGCTTGGGTTAATTTGTTCATATGCATGATAATTGTATAGCCCCCACCGCATACTATCATTTATTTCTTTTAAGATAATCACTTCACTTAATCCTAATTAGAAATACTAAACCCTTAATAACATATTTTATGTTTTTGAATATTTTATTCTTTATCTCCTCTCTCTTGTTTTACCACCCATAGCTTGCTGCCCATAAAAGATTATTATAAGTCATAACTCATAATAAATTATAGTCATTTCAAATACTTTTTTTCTGAATTTTATACTTAAAGAACCAATAAAAACATCAACAAACAAATACTAATAAAACATAAGATTAATATATCTAGTGAAAGTTGAGTTAAGATATGAGATTAAGAAGTTCTGCAAGATTATAAGGGATGGGAAGAAGCCAACCCAAAGTTGACTTTGAGTTGGATTAGGGTTGAAGGAATTTAGTTAAGGTTAGGGTTGGGTAGGTTGGGTTGGGTTGGGAGTTTAGAACTTAGGGTTGGTATCAACTCGACTTGCAGCCATAATTATTAGGCAAATAGAAGGATATATTTAGAGAGTCCAGAACTCCTGCCAGCGATACACGCTCCAACACCCAACCAATATGATCTGGCACCACATATCTTACTATGAAATTGGAACCCACCATATATGAGATGTACAATGTTAGATCATGTTGATAGGGTGTTGGAGCCGGAAGTAGGTCTAGTCTCCTGCTCTTAACTATCCAAAACATTTTCGCTCATTTTGTCAAAACAATTGAAATCATCAGGGAAATATATTATTTTTAACATTAATACAAGTATGCTTTTATTAGGAGACGTTTGAATTGTTTTTCTTGTTTCTTGTTCGAAAAACAAATCAAAACCATTTGGTTCGTAAACAGATTGCTTCTTGAAACAAAAAGAAAAAAAACATGTTCTTGATTTTTTTTTGTGTTTTTTTTTTGTTTTTAAAATTGAAAAAAAGAACATGTTCTTGAATTTCTTATTTCAGAACATGTTTTCATCTCATTATTTAGGGGATATTTTACAACATGAATATTTTTCCTTATTGCTGGTTCTGAAAACAAATGAAAACCATCTTGCTTGAAAACAGATTGTTTCTTAAAACAAAAACTAAGGAAACGTATTCTTGGTTGTGTATGTATTTTTTGTTTTTAAAACTGAAACCAAAAACATGTTTTTGAATCTGGTTTCAAAAACATGTTTTCTTTTGGTTATTCAACAAAATGTTCCATAAATCATATAATTTCTATGCTAGAAAAATTGTTGTTGTTGTTTTAAAAAACAAAAAAGAGTTCAAGAACATGTTTTTATTTTATTTTTTATGATGCGATGATTCAAAAACAAATGAAAACAAAAACATTCATGTTGTAGAACGCCCCCTTAATATCATGCTTCATTAGTCATACAATTTATTACACTACAAAATTTATTTTTGTTTTAAAAATTATTATATCAATGGTTCCAAAATAGCTTGCTTTTGCCTTTCAAAAGAAAAATAGAGTTCAAGAAAATGTTTTTGTTATTTTGCTGATGTAGGGGTTCTAATCGGGTTGGCCCGAGTTAGCATTTTACACTGCTTTGGTCTTTGGACTTGGAACATTTGGGCCGGCCCATTCAAATTATGACAAATACTCGACCCAAGCCCACTTAATCTACCCCTACCTGCCACATCTATGTTTCGGAATTCAGACCCACATAATAGGCATAGCAGCAAAGTTTTCCATTATTAACACTAAAACACATTCACATAGGATAGGAGAAGAAGACCGAGCTGCCACAGCTTTCACACATGGAGACATCATTAGTGCTAACACATGAACTTCTCTAGAGACTTTCGTCCACCAAACCCAAATTTGGTGGTACCACTCCCATCACACCCACAATGCAAAACATGAAGGATATATAGATTCTACGAGATCAGAGAGTCCTTGCAAGAGACTCTTCTGGCCTGTTTACTTGACACACAAGAGCCAAGAGGTGGACAAAAAAGGTGAAGAAGGAACCTAGGAATGGATGGGTTTCAATGAAAGAATAGTAATAAAGAAACCCATGTGGCTTGAAACAGAAGGAATGTTGTAGGGGAAGAATACAAGTGTATAAGAGACTCAGGTAGGGTTTTGCCTACTTCTCCCACAAGGGAAAAAGGTATGACAGAGACGTCGCACCAAGAGACAAATGTTTGCTGCACGATTGGCCTGCAAGGGAATGAATTTGTGTTAGGAACAGTCATCTAGACTTCACCCTTGTCTAAGCAAACCAACAGTTTTTGCCCTCTTAACTCCTCTCTGCTTCCTTCCATTGTTTCACCTAACATGTGCCACACCCACTTCTCCAAATGGGGTGGCTGCAATCCCTCATCTCCCCATTGAAGAAGCTCTGGGATCGTCTACACTCGCCTCAAGAAAAGAGTAACGTCCTTCACACCCATTTAATCTTCTTTTTTTTTGTTCATCATATGTTCATCTCTGCAATTGCAGTGTTTTTACTTTCCTTTTTTCAAATGATACCATTTTCTCTCCTTCTAATAGCTAGTAGGAATCGTATGCCATTAATCTGAGCTCTCTGAGTGCTTCTTTTCTGTCCTAGTTTTCTTTTCTTCTATTCTCTGTCCATGGTTTTCATGAAAAAGGCTTCGCATTCAAATAACTGAAGTGATGACTCTGTGTCTTCATTGTTGCCTCATTGAATTAAGAGCTTTTAATCAAAACCCAGCTTTGAGTACTCATGCTCTTCCTGTAATTGTTGTTGTAAGTGCTGTATCCATAGCATTGTTTTCATTGGTGCATCTCCAATTTTCATCCCTTCTTTGCATGTTCCCTCACTCACTGTATAACTGGGGGGAGATCATCAATAGTTTCACGAGTTAAAGAAATGAAGTAGTTTCATCTAATAACCAGAAGCTACTCCAATTATATTGTCTATACATCTAACCATTTAAGGGTGGTTTTTAATTTATTTGGTGATTTGCAGGAAGAGGGATATACATCCTGTATGAAGACGTCAAGTCATGCCCTTATGAAGATGTGCACGTCCTGTGGTCGATCCTGGTGGAGTTGCATACACCATCCTTGCCATCCAAACGAGGCCTTATAATAGGCCCATAGAGAGAGAGAGAGAAGAGGCTAAAGGAACAATTAATGAGAAGCTTTCCTATCATGTACATAATATATAAAGCAAACACACACAGAATCATCACAGAAACAAATTAAGACATATTTTAATATGCACTCATTCACATAGTTTCTCTGATTTTTCATAGAAGGATGGCCATGGCCTTCTTGTAATAGTGTTAATTCCCACCTAACTAATCCCCAAAACAATCTTTTATTCTATGTGCTTGCATGTGTGTTAACGTTGGGCAGTTGGGGTAGTTGTGTTAGTTCCTTTCAACTGCCTAAACAAGAGGGTTCTTGAGGTTTTTGTTACTTTGTCATATTCGGACAGGTGAGATATGGTTTTTAATTTCATGGAAAAGATGGGATACCAACTTGATTGATTGATTATTTACATGAACCCTTAAGCTACCATAACGATGATGCATGTTCCTTGGCTTTTGATAGTATGATTCTTCCCTAGCTACCCTTTTATTATATTAATTAATCGAACAATGGTAAACCAATCACAATCGCATACTCCCTGATCACTACTCACGATCCCAAAAAGTATTCTCTTTCTTTAGTTTTTCTTCTTCTTACTTCAGGGACATTCTACAACGTGAATTGTTTTTCTTGTTGTTATTCTAAAATTAAATTAAAGGGTTCAACCAATCAGGGAATATTCATACCAAAAAAAATTATAGTCAATCAACCGATATCATAGATCAATTGGGAGATATTCATCAAAATTCACAGGACTACTTTAATTGGTCAAAACTCTTTTGGTATTATTCATATCATAGATTACCATCTAGTTTGAAAGCAGATTGTTTCTCAAAATAAAAATACAAAAAATATGTTCTTGAATTTCTGGTTTAAAAATCCATGTTTTCATCAGGTTATTTCATGTCCTGTTCCATGAATCATAAACTTTTTACCCTACAGAATTTGTTTTTGTTTTAAAAACCATTAATTTGATGGTTGCTAATAATAAAACCAATTTGTTTTTTCCCTTAGGCTGTATTTGGTTTGAAGGAAAAAGTAGGAAAAGGTAAGAAAACTTTTATAAATCTTGTATAAGTTTTCTTACCTTTCTTTTTTTTTTTCCTTCAAACCAAACATAGCCTTAAGAAATAAAAACAGAATTCAAACGCATATTTTTAATTTTTTGCAGATGTGGCCGTTCAAAACAAATGAAAACAAAAACATTTATGTTGTGGATAATATATGATATTTAATCTTAGACTAAAAACAAAAACAAATAAAAAAGAGAAGAAATACTAATCACTGCAACAATAAAGCATGGACAAGGTAGAAGTCCACACAAGAAGGAGAGATCACCCAGGCGTTTTAAATTTCAGATATATGGGGATTGTCCGTATTATATTGGATGAACTCAATAATTTGTGCAATGATGGTTGATGAATCAATTTTTTGTTATGTATCAATTTTTTGTGCTAAGTACCTTGTCATTTGGTCTATTTCCAAGTGGTCGATGACTCAGAGGCCGAAGTGAACTTTTGCTGGATGAGGACCTGGATGTTGAGTTGACTAGGCCGAGCTGGGGGCAGATTAGGTGCCGAGTTAACTAGGCCGAGCTGGGTAGGTTAGGTGCCGAGCTGACTGGGCCGAGCTAGGCAGGTTAGGTGACGAGCTGACTGGGCCGAGCTAGGCAGGTTAGGTGACAAGCTGGCCAGAGTGTTAAGCTGCCTATTAGGTGCCGAGCTGATCAGATGGTCGAGCTGCCTATTAGTTGCCGAGCTGACTAGAGGGCCAAGCTGCCTGGTGGCGAGGTGGATTGATTGTTGAGCTTCGTAGTTCTTTAGAGACCTGCAAGGAATCAATGTCAGAGGACTCGGGGTGGCTAACCCGGCGAGGTCGCTCCGATGCTTAAGTCAATACTCTCATAGTAGACTGCGAGCTAAAAATCACAAAGTATGAGAGCTAGAATATGCTTACTCGCCCCCCTCATGTCATTGGGGTTGGTGCCTTTATATAGGCATTGTTTGGCGTGGGCTTCACGCACCATATCCGAGATTTCCGAGAGGTCACCTAAGTGGTCCGAGATTCCTGGAGGCAACCGCCATGCACGTTGACCACCCTCTGGATCGTTCGGTACGTGGGCCAACTTCCAAGGATCGTGGGAGTGTTGGGATATGCATGCCAAATTTGTCGGCGAGCACATCTCGTAGGTCGTCAAGTCAGCGCCTGTGCTAGGTCGGTACGTTGGCGCCTATGCTAGGCTGCCAGGTCGGCGCCTGTGCTAGGCCGCCAGGTCGGCGCCTGTGCCAGGTCGCCAGGTCAGCGCCTGTGCTAAGTAGCAAGGTCGGCGCCTGTGCCAAGCCGCCAGGTCGGCGCCTATGCCAGGCTGCTAGTTCGGCGCCTGGGCCAGGCTTTCAACTCACGCCAGGGTCAGGCC